CAGCCTGGTCTACAGGATAGGCTCTAAAGCTACACAGAGAGACCCTGTCTCAAAAAAAAAAAAAAAAAAAAAAAAAAAAAAAAAAAGAGTGTAGAACTTGAAGGGAAGGGAAAAGAAGTCCCCACCTTGTTGGAACAGACCTTGAAAGACTCTCTAAGAAAGACAGTACTCAGTGGGACAAAAAGGTGTCTTGGTTATGGGGAGATCCTTCTCTAGTTTTTAGTGTGTTGGGGTGGGGCAGGGGGAGGGCAAGTCCTAAGCTATAGAAATGGGATGGTGGGAGCTACAGACAAGAATAATCACAATGTGACATGGGGCAGGGCACAATTTGGTCTAGTGACACTGTATCCATAGATAAATAGAAATCTATTAACCATGAAGTCAAGCGCCTTTAAGAATGGAACAAACACCTGCAAATCTTCATCTTAGCATCCCACTGTGTGCTGAAATGTGTGCACAGCATTCACTGCCTTAAAACTACAGCGCCAGATTTGCTTTGTGTTTTCCCAGGGATTTACTTTTGTCTTCCCAAACAAAAGTAACAGAAACCAGAACACCAGTTGAACTATCACTAATTAAACAAAATAGTTTTGAATTATGTTTAAAAACTAAGCAGAAACACTTAAGCTACTAATATCCTAAAATACTTCATAAATATTCAAAAGTATTGGCTTCAACCTTATATCCAAATGAAAAACTGGAAACAAGATGAGTATGTAGGAAAACTGGGACTTTCTTAATCTAGTTTCATTTTTATTAAATAATTCAATTGGTTATCCTAAGTCCTTCCAATTTATAGGAACAACAATAGTGAAACAAACATTTTTAAAGCTTTCACTAACTCTAAGGAATTTCTAAAATTTTTACACAAATTGTTTGTGGCTATAGACCTGATACTGTAATCTTCATTTTACAGATAAGAAAACAAGTTTAAAAGATCTATCAGCTAATGCTGGAGTCAGGAATAAAGGAAAATTGAAAGATTTTGGTTTTGGTTTTGATTCTCATCTTGGGGGCCTGGGCTGACCTTCTTCTGGCTATGGGGCTGATGCCTTGAACTACTCATCCCCATGTTATGGGTGCGGAGACTGCAATCCTGCACCCCCATTCAGTCAGCTAATTGAAGGATCTTGAGATGAATGCAAATTTGTTGGCTTTAACTAAATTCTCTCTTATCAGTAATGAGTTCATTGTTTCTGGGCAAATGTTTGCTTAGAAGCAACTGCAAGGAAGAAACGCTAATCTGCGATGTTAAAAATTAGTACTATGGCTAAGTTCACAGTCTATATCGTGTGTGTGTGCGCGCGCGCGCGTGTGTTTGTGTGTGTGTGTGTGTGTGTGTGTGTGTGCGCGCGCGCGTGCATGCCTCTGCCTGTGCACGCATACACATGCTCAATCTCATTTCAATTGCACATATGCTCTTTTGACTTAATGTTTTTGGGGCAGATACAGGGGACTATTACCCTAAAATCATTCCCTCCTTTTCAAAAAGTAAATGACCTTTTTATTTTGTGTGTGGCTTCATGCCTAACCTTTGCCCCATAGATGTAAACAGGAGAGAGGTGAACAAAATTCAGACATCTTCAAAGGAAGAGGGAATTTTTTCCCCTGCTGGCTGACATAGAAGCCTTCTAGCTAACAATCACCTAGATCTCAGAGGTATGCATTTTAGGGATAATGCAGCCAAAAAAAAAAAAAAAAAAAAAAAAAAAAAAGGGTTGGGGGAGCTAAGTTCAGTTAGGAGTTAGGTCAGTTAGATCTACTGAGGCTCCTCATTTTGGATTAAGTTTCCTTGGGGGAACAAACAAAACTCTACTATTGTGGTTAAATAAGGATCAGGATAAACAAATAGGCCAAATAGATGTTTATTCAGGGAGAAATAACTTACAACCTAAACAGATGAACACCAGCAAGTTCCACCGGATGTTCTCCTGTCTGTCTGAGTCCCTCCAGCAAGTGAGCTTTCCCCGGCTCTTCCTCAGACCTCCTTCCTCAGGTCACTTCCGCCCATGGCTCCACCCCCAATGGGCGTGGTCAGTGCCACAGAAGGAGACAAATATCTCACTACACTCTACCTCATTTTTGGTTGTTTGTTTCAATGGCACGCACACGGCGGGGGAGTGGGGGTGGGGGTGGGGGGTGATTCAATTGCTCACTCCCATGTAATATTATTTTTGACTAATTTCAAGACACTCAGAATATTGAATAAGGGATTAGAGAGTAGTACAGAGTGATGCGGGCAGGATGGTTGGGCAAGGTATCATGAGGATTTAATACTCAGGCTGAGCCTTGAACTGGAGGTATGTTCCCGGAAATGAGAAAGAAAAAAAGGAAAATACCATGCAGGAAAAAGGAATGTGATTTTGTGATCAATGTCCAAGAAGGAAGCCAAGATGGTTGACTCTGAGGACTTTTCCTGTTACCAATCCTTGAGGTAGAAATCCTTCCCTCCAGACCTGGAAGAGGCCAGGTAACTTTGTAGGGATAACCTCTCAGGATGCCTTCCAAAATGTCAACCAGTTAGAAGCCTTCAGCAACATGACTCAATCCATAATGGCCAATTTTAAACCCTGTCAGATACTGCCTGCTGTCAAAAGCTGCAACAATTGTCACCTTTGATTATGGCCTGGCTCTATTGAACAACTCATCACAGCTTTTGATCTTGACAAGGCCCCAAGAATATTGTCCGTAATGTTCATTTTAAAAAAGATTTATTCTTCTCTCTTCCCTCCACCCTCCCCCTCCCTCTTTTCTGTTCTCTCTCTCTCTCTCTCTCTCTCTCTCTCTCTCTATCTATCTATCTATCTCCGTGTGTGTGTGTGTGTGTGTGTGTGTGTGTGCACGTGCATGCATGTGTGCATGTCCATGTCCATGTAAGTACCTATAGAGGCCAAAAAATGTGTCAGGTTCTCTGAAGCTGGATTTCAGGTGGCTGTGAGTCACCATGTGAGTGATTGGGATCTTAATCCAGGTCTTTTGCAAGAATGAGTGCTCCTAACCACAGAGTCATCTCTCCAGGGCCCCTATAGTTCATTTTGATTTTTTGAATAATCCATAATTTTTCTCTAATTAATATATGTATCTTGTCACCTCAATTAAGGTATAGAATAAGAACCCCAACTTTAAAATGTTTTAAAATCCATTTGGGTTTCCACCAGAAGGTATTCAATAAAAATGTTCTTCATGCCCAGTGAATGAGGATTTCATTCAGCTATCTCAGGGGCCAGAAACACAATAGAGAGAACCTAATCTCTCCCTGTCCCTCCCTATTGCCAGGAAGATATGAGTAGCTAAAGTATTTGGTGCTATATATAGTCAGTTGATGTCAGCTGGATGCCAGTCTCTTCAGAGAGGCTCAGTCCCCCGTTTGAGTCAGAGCTAGGGACCATGCCGTTCCAGGTTCAAGGATAAAACCCATCAGGCCCAAGTGCCATCATATTCCACCTTCAGTGTTTTCCTCTGCAATTGGGATTCACCCCTGCTGAAAAGCGCAGCCTAGCAGCAAGGTGAGTATATTGTTTCCTAAAATGTCTTATTAGTCAGTTGGTCACCAGAGGTCCAGAGTTGTGACTCATAAATGACCATTCTTTGCTTTTAAGGGAGGCTGTTGATGCTGACTTGAAATGCTACCACCAGAGTTCTGGCTGAGTCCGTCCTCTTCCTCACCCTTAGTGTTTGCTGGAAGTGATGTCCTCTGATGCTGATGGGATTGCAGCCAGGATAGAAGTACTAGCTGATGGAAAAAAAGGAGTGTAGGAAAGAGAGGGAAGAGCAAGGAAGCTGTTGCTTTCATTGTTTCTCAGTGGGTAGTGGTCAACTTACTGGAGGATTGGGTCTGAGACTGTGTCCCCCTCTGTTCATGGGGACATGGGTTGCTGATGAAAAATATGTGCACTGTAGACAGACATGCAGTATACGATGGTCATTCAGTAAAAAGTAATAATAAACTCTTATTAAGGAAGAAAAGTGTTCTCTTGTAGAAAGGATGATCATAACGGATTCTTCACATATGCCTCAATAGTGTCCCTTTGTTTTCAACAGGGAGTAAAAAAAAAAAAAAAAAAAAAAAAAAAAAAAACTAAACCATGCTATCGCACAGTGCCATGGTGAAGCAAAGGAAACAGCAAGCATCAGCCATCACAAAGGAAATCCATGGAAACGGTATCACTGAAACCTCTTCATGGTCTTAATGTAACATGGCATGAAATATAGGTCCTGTCCCTTCTGAATCTAACATCCTAGAGTGCACTCCCTTAAATACGTCCTATCCACCTTAACAAAGTGCTGTTCTCGGGGTGCTGTAGAAAAGCCTATGGTAATGGATGCTTGGGAGTCATCCTTTCTCATCTGAAAGCTATTTTCAGATGAACAACTGCTGCAGGAGGCATGAAGCGAGCTGACAGCTGATGTGTGTGCTCTCCACTTGCGCTATCAGCTAGCATGATGCTTATGGGTCTTGTTTGTTTATAGATGACTTTCATAGAACTCTGCATTTTTTGTTCTGTCTTGATTTCTTTTACTTTGTGTTATGTCAAAAAATTCAAACTGTGTTCTATCAGCCTTCTAAAACTTTTCAGAACGAAACAAAACAACTGATTGCCCAGGAGTTCATATTCACTGTTTAAAGCTGACACTAGTGTTCGCATTTAAGAGTTGAGTTGCTAACATACATTGCATGCAAAATCTACTTTTACTTATGCTTTCTGGGGAAAAAAGTTGGGGCCCTTCTAATGTCAAAACCAACTTACTTTTTAGTATATGATAGATGTAAGATATTATTCCAGTAATAAATAATATTGTCACCCTTTTTTAAATCCTAGCAAATAATTCTGGGAGACCTTGTGATTTACTTGTTAAAAAACAAATTCATTTTGTTCATGAATAAAAATACTGTTAACTTTTGAGTTTAATATTCAGGTCCCTTTTGGGACTGATCTGAGCCATTCCAGACATGTTTGTGGAATTTGCAGGGTGTCCCTTTATTTTTGTGCAGAATGGAACGCTGCACCATGACAATATTCACATCTAGACACATGAAACTGATGAGGCATCTGGAAACCATGACGAGTGTAGTATTTCACCTCATCCTTTCCATAAAGCAAGCTGAACTACCGATCAAAGTGTTTTACATACCGGCCACATACCACAGTCATGTTGAAAGGGTACGGCTCGCCTTTAATCTCTTTGCTATTAAATCACTGTGCTGGCTTCTGCTTGTTTCTCATCTTTACTTTCATGCTAAATTCATTTAGAATAAAATGAGAATAATTCTGGCCTACCAGACTGTATCAATTAAATTTAAATTTTCATGTATCTTTGGGTGTCCTACTTTGAGTAATTTACTTGAAATTGTTTCTGTGGCTTTCCTAGTCAATATGACAAAACAAAAACAAAAACAAAAAATCAGATGATAACTTAAGCTTGAGACTAAATTTCTTGCTGTAAAACTAGGCTTTGAATAAATCATTTTCCTTTACATCATCATCATAATTGTCTGAACACAACTGACCCTATCTAATTACATCATAATCATAAGTAAATCCATTTAATATAATCTCATTCTAAATAAACATGTCAGAGTCTACTCTATATTTTCTTGCCTATACCTATGAGAGTAAAATCATATATTTACAATTTTTTATAAGTATAACCATTGAAAGCTTTATTTTAAGAAAACACACTTATATGTCAATGGGGAAACACTACAACCTCCCTACCAGGAAGTCTTGAACGTGTAAAGGCCTTTCCTCCAACATTGGATGAGCTCACCATGTAGGAGGAGCCCCAGGCTCTGGCTTTATGATGTTGAATATTCTAGATAAATTGGATAATCAGACTCATCCAAGATAAAAACTATATATTATGAAGCAGGACAAATACTTAAGTTCTTCCTTTTCTTTCTGCTAGAGTCTTGTATGAAACTTATGAAGCAGGACAAAAGCTTAATTTCTTTCTTTTCTTTCTGCTGGAGTCTTGCATGGAACTTAACTATTTGTATGTTGCGGAGAATAGAGAATACTATAGCTAGGGGATGTCACCGTTCCTAAGGATGAAGAAACGAGATATAGACTTCAGGGAAACACTTATGGTGGAGATGAGTCTTTATATTTTAAAGCATATTGCAGCTATAAAACATCTGGATAGTTTAAGATGGCATATGCTAGAGCTCTGATCTGAATTTTAAGACTCAATAGTATCCTTGCACATAGGGGCAACATTAAATATTATAACCCATTTGTTATTATTATCACACTCCAAAAACAATAATAGTGAATGATGTTCAGCCAGCTGCAGTTCTTGTGGGGCTGAGACTAAAGCCAGGGACCCTTTGAGATGAGTAGGGACATATAAGAGGGAAAGTTTCACATTTGATCGCTCTCACTATTAGAAAGACAATTTGCCTTTCAAGAATTAGTGAAAAATTCTTCCCATATAGACTATAGTGTTAACGGGATAGAGGGAGTTTTTTAAATCCCTAGTTTCCATTTACGACACCCATGTTCTTGCTCTTTATGGACCCATTGTAAGTTGGTGTCCCATTATGCACCAGAAGGGAGTATATCACATGTCCAGCAAAGAGCTGATAAAAGTATCTAGGGCCTGCCAGATGGCTCAGCAGGCGGGGCTCTTGGTGTCAGGCTTGAAACCTGAATTCAATCTCTGGAATCCACATGGAGGAAGGCAAGAACAAATTCACAGAATCACACACACACACACACACACACACACACACACAGAGAGAGAGAGAGAGAGAGAGAGAGAGAGAGAGAGAGAAACAGAGAGAGAATAAACAAATAAAGGATTTCCTATCACCCACCATCTCCACCCAGATCAGTCTCGCCATAATAGAGCACTGTCATCCTACTGGCAGGAGAGGCTGGGATGGTCTTGAGTTACTGTTGTAACAACAACCTCAGTGCTTCACACAACAGCGTGTCAGCCACGTTTGCAAGCATCTAAAAAGTACAGAAATCTTTTGTTTGCATCTACACATGGCTTAGTTGTGAGGACAAGACAGTCCATGACAGTGCCGTGCCCACAAGCGCTGTGCAGTTTACCTTGAATCTGAACAGATTTCCAGCACCAACAGTAATCCTTGCTCACTCCATAACTTACTGCAAACCTGAAGGCTAAACAAAGAGGGATAAGGGTAAGTGATAAAGGAAGTGATGCGGCCATTAGAACAGATTAAGGACAAGCACACTGGAGTATGGTTGGGAAAGGAAATGGAGTTAATACAACCACAAGACAGACTTGGACTGAGATGTTGCTTAACTGTAAACACAGGTGTTACCAGCAACAGAATGGGAGCCTCCTAACAGGAAAGGGCTCGCGGTGCGCTGCTTCCGCTGTCTGTCTTGTTTGACCTGCTGCAGCTCTTCCGAGGGCTTTGTTGTCAAACGCTTTTGGGATTATTGTCTTTCTCTTTATGTTGTCCTTCTCTTTATAGAGCTTGCCCGGGCATACTGAAGAAAATCAGGCAGGTGGTTTTTGTAAGTTCAGGAAAGGGTCTAGCTTTGTGGTCTGAAATCAGAAAGCCCCGATTCTGAATGGAGGGCTGTGTGGATATGGCTTCGGCCAAGCATCTAATTCAGAAATTCCACGTTGCTGTCCGTTGAGCTGCCTGAAGGCAGGGATGGCTGTGCCTGTTTCTCCATCAGTAACAAAAGGAATAATAGTATAGACAGAAATTGCAAGGACTCTCCGAAAAATTATAGAGCACAAGGCCTAGAATTTCAGATGAAGGATTATATGTGAGGATCGAGTTTTACTTTTCCTGTCAATAAAAATTTCAATATCAAAATGATAACACCAGAAAGGCCTAATATGTCTCAAAACTTGGGGCAGGAGAACAATTCAGTTTTGGGGTTTGTGATTTTTCTTTAACTTTTCCTATTAGTACTATCATAATCTCAAGGAAAATAGAGCATATTTTATTTTGAAAAATGGTGTGTAGCCACCCATTGAGGATCCAGTTCCTTCCTTCCTTTCTTTTTGTTTTTGTTTTTCTGGGTTTTTGTTTTTGGTTTTTTGGTTTGAGTTTTTTGTTTGTTTGTTAGGGTTTTTTTTTTTTTTTTTTTTTTTTTTGAGACAGGGTTTCTCTGTATTGCTTTGGAGCCTGTCCTGGAACTTGCTCTGTAGACGAGGTTGGCCTCGAACTCACAGAGATCTGCCTGCCTCCCAAGTGCAGGATTCAGTTTCTATGCACTTGACCTTACCAAGGTCCTTAAAAGAAGGGAGCTGAATCCTATTTCACACTGATCACGGTCCTGAACTTAACAGTGCCAATCACCGTGACAGGCTGTTCTGCAGCCTACAGACAACACTGGATGATCATGATCTGTTGTGCAACTCAGAACACTGGTAATATGTTTTCCTAAATATTTATGAAACTTCACAGCTAATCACACCTTAATGGAAAGCTTTATAAGTAGTATTAAAACTTAAATTGAAAGCTGTCAGTGGGGATGCACACCTTTAATCCCAGCACTAGGAAGGAAGAGGCAGGTGATCTCTGTGAGTTCAAGGGAGCCTGGTCTACCTAGTAAGTTCTAGGCTAGCCAGATCTATACAGTGGGACCCTGTCTCAAAAGCAAGCAAAAAATTAAATAACAAAAATGCCCCCAAAGTGACACAAGGATATCTGAAATAGGAACACAACAGGTCTCATATAGATTTCAAATTCATTTTCATTTAGAAAAAATATGAATAAAATTTCATTAATTGAAAAAATTTTCAAGCATTTTTCAAGATCACAGGCTGTACTATGATGTTTTATGTTATGTGATATATGGCTTACACTATATAAAAGATAGATTTTTATGAACTATTACTTGTAGATGGAGTCCTTCTGTCTCTGTATCAGTAAGACTACCTAAGTAACACCAGCCTCCACCAACTCTCCTCCCATGCTTTATATACTTTATTAAGATTGAACTTGCCTGACAAGCACGAGGAAGCAATTTTAAAAGATCTTTCTTTGGTCTTTCTACAATTGCTCGTAAGTGGATTGGATTCCTGGATCTGAATACCATTCCATATCACTATAAATGACAGCAATGGGAAAGTATGCCTAGTAATTTTATTTTGATGGATGATCTAATGCCTCAAACACAGCCTTCTAAGTCATGAGGGTGAGGATGTGTATCATTTCTCGGGCACTGAGGTTAAAAAGGCTATTAAAACCTCGTGCTGGGGTTACACTAAAGGTCTGGGCTTAGAAGCCATGTGTGCAGTGGTAGACAGCACTGTCCAAAGCACATTTTGAGTAATAAGAGTGATTGCTAGATTTGGGGGTCACAGAGGGAGGGGAAGGAAAACTTGTTGTTTGTTTATGCAAAGGGTTTTGTCTAATATATCCCTGACATTGAGGGATGGGATGCTTTGGTTGGTATTTTGCCATGCTTTGTGTTATAAATAATCTCACCATGACCAATGTCAAGCTCCCTGAGGCACTAAATGAAGTGTGGGAAGAAATTTGAAACAGTGCAATACCACATAGGTACTTACAAAGCTATGCTATTGCAAGCACTGTAGTATTTTCAGATTTTCTTCATGTAGCTACAATAGATATGAATAACCTCAAGGCCATACAGCAATAGCAAAAGTATCTAGCAACTTATAAAGTGATGCCTTTTGGATAGTTATTGCTCTGATTTGCCTAAATATTCCACTTGTGTTTTGCCCATGGTCTCACTGTTGTAGCTCAGGCTGGCCTTCCATTTGTGATCCTCCTGCCTCAGTCAGCTGAATGCAGGATAACAGGGACATGGCACTATGCACCACCAGAAGTTCTTTTTATTCATTGCTGGGCATAGAACATGGCCTCACATAGGTTAGGCAAGTGCTTTGCCACTGAGATACATCCATAACACTGTATGTATGTATGTATGTATGAATGAATGAATGTATATGGGATGCTGAGCCTGTATCACCCCACCTGACTAATCACTTAATTTTGTTTGTTTTATTTTTTATTTAAATTAGGAACAAGCTTCTTTATCTGTCAGTCCCAGTTCCCTCTTCCTCCCCTCCTCCCCTGGCTCCCTCCCAACTCCTTATACCATCCCCTTTCTGCTCCCCAGGGAAGGTGAGGCCTTCCATGAGAGATCTTCAAAGTCTGTCATATCATTTAGAGCAGGGCCTAAGCCCTCCCATGTGTGTCTAGGCTGAGAGAGTATCCCTCTATGTGGAATGGGCTCCCAAAGTCCATTAGTATACTCAAGATAAATATAGATCCACTCCCAGAGGCCCCATAGACTGCCCAGTCATCCTAACTGACACCTACATACAGGGGGTCTGGATCAGTCCAATGCTGGTTTCCCATCTATCAGACTGGAATGCATGAGCTCCCCCTTGTTCAGGTCAGCTGGTTCTGTGGGTTTCTCCATCCTGGTCTTGGCCCCTTTGCTCATCACTCCTCCATCTCTGCAACTGGATTCCAGGAATTCAGCTCAGTGTTTAGCTGTGGGATAATTACTTAATTTTAACAATGGTGTATCCCCTGTGTAACTGTGAGCTTGTGGAACCTCTGAAAGTGTATTAGTCTTGTATGTGAGTGCCAGTGCATCACTTTATTTTTTGAGGGATGCCTCTGAGCTCAAACATGAAGATGTTCAGTTGCTTTGAGCCACTGTGGAGTGGGAAGGGAAAATTAACATTGGGACAATACAGATTGGAAGGTAAGAAAGAACTTGAGAGTTGCTAATTCATTTTCTGTGTTGTTTATTGTGTCTGTGTTCTTGTGGTATATAGTTTAAGGCAACACTGGATTGTGTCTGCTGATAATTTCTTTCTATGCCCTGACATTGAAGGTTGGTAAGTTCTGGTAGCGGTGGGTGCCCATTTGTCCTTTGTGGCAGCTTGTAGTACGTTGCTAAAAAGGAGTCTGTAGCTAAGGGCAAAATCTTTCTTTTTCCTTATATTTCCCCTGTGCTTTATTTATCAAGCACCTTACCTTGGACCTTCTGGGTCAGCGTCTCTCATATTTGGATGTGATTCTATGTTTAACACAAATTTTCTTCTTATATTAGCAAGAATATATAGAGAAAACAGTTGTAGGAATTAGCACGTCTTTGTTCGACTATAACAGAAGGCAGCTAGGTAAACAATAAAGAGATCAGAGATGGCCTGTGAGGCCTCATCCAGTAGCTTCTGCATAAACCCAGGACATAATCCCTGCATTTACTCCCTTGGTTTGTCTCATTCTATCTGTCATCCTATCGAGGACTGCTGTGTTCTGGTGCACACTCCTCAAAGCTTAATTTCACAGTTAACTTGTCACATCAGCTATGGCTTCTTCTGGGCATGGTGAAATACACCTACAAACCCAGAGCTTGAGAAGGCTGGCACAGGAGCGTCGTGAGTTGGAGCTAGCCCGGGCTGCAAATCTGTCTCCAAACAAAATCAAAACAAAATAAGAAAGTAAAAGAATTTCATCTCTCTTGACTTATGGGAAAGCTCTTTAGTATTAGAAATAGGAAATAGCAATCTTTTGTATTGTTTGTTTGTTTTGAGACAGAATATCAGTATATGACATAGTGGACATCGAACTTGCTATGTAACTCAATATGATCATGAACTCACAATCGTCTTGCATCCACTTATGGCTTCTGGGATTACAGGCATGCACCCACACTCACAACTAAAAATAACAGTCATGACAATTTTTTTTCTATATTTGCAATAAAAGGTACATAAGAAATTAAAACCGGGAGAAAATCCAAACCATAAATGAATTGAGATTCGGTACTTTGGATACAGCGGAAGCATCAGTGATTTTAACCTTTAGTGCAGCAATTCACAGAAGTGGCATTTGAGCTGGTTGGGAAAGATGTCCACCATTTCTCCTGCCTACCTCCTTTATGCGTGCTGGTACCAAATAAAGAATCAATGGTACCCAAGACTAGATGGTGGGGTTGGAAGGAACAGGCAAAGCTCAAGTTGATTAATAGAAATGTGGGGAGAAGAGCAAAGCTTATTAATATAGATATGAAGCAATTCTGTTTGAAAAGTCACTAAATGGGAAGCCTAAATTGTGCTAAGAGTATGACAGTGTACTTTTATTTATTCTTTCTATGCTCCTGGTAACATGCTAAATAGTTTATATGAAATATTTTACTTAAATATAATTTAACTATATTTGATACCAACTCTTTGCAATAATTATTGTTCTCGTTATTATTAGCTGAACATTAGAGACATGAGGTCTAGATAAAATAAGCAACATATGTGATCCTACAGTGCCAAGATGGTGAGTTCAAGATGTTCCCCAAAGCCAGCCCACTGAAACACATTTCAGTCACTTACCGAAAGGCAGGGCAGAAAACAGATTATAGAACTTAGCAAAGTATTTTGAAATGCTTTCTTTTGGATTTTCATGAATGTAAATATCATTTTACAGATGTAGATGGCATGAACCTGGGCAAAAAAGTCAGTATCCCCAGAGACATCATGATAGAAGAATTGTCCCATTTCAGTAATCGTGGTGCCAGACTGTTTAAGATGCGTCAAAGAAGATCTGACAAATATACTTTTGAAAATTTCCAGTATGAAACTAAAGCACAAATAAATGTAGGTACAACCGGACCGTGAGTATCTAAATGAATTAACAGCATACCTAAGTTGGTACGTGTTACTAGGCTCCCAAACAAGTTGCTCTACATATCTTCTTTCAGGTGATTCTATTAGACCTCTTTATTCAGGATGATGAATAGCTTAGGCAGTTAAATAAATGAAGCATTATGTATGATATGAGAATGCTTTTTTGTTCATTAGGGACATTGTGAGCTGTAGATTTGGCACTGAGGAACTGGCCTGTTCTGCTAGGAAGATGGGGAGTGAGTGGAGAGAAGCGGTACTAGATGTTTCCAAGTCTTATCACCTGCAGTTAAATATTTGTGGTGGACACACTCCCAAAGCACACAGAGGACCACAAAGCAAGGATAAGAGTTGTTTTTGTTGAGTACATCCTGGCCCTAAAAATGCTGAGAATGGCAAACTCTGTCAGTCTTGCCTCAAAGTATTTATTCTACATGATCATGACAAAGCCCACATGGACCTAACTCTTTGGGCAGGAAACATCAAAACCTTAACATTTTAAATTATATTTTACAGCGTGGTGTGGTGTTACACATCTATAATCCTAGCATCCTGAAGGCAAAAGTAGAAGGACACTTCACAAGTTCGAAGCTAGCCTGGCCTATATAAAGAGCTCCAAGCCAGCCAAGATTATATAGTGAGACCCTCTCTCAAACTAACAAAATTTAGATTTTACATGTGTTATCATCATATTCATTCAAACAGCCTTTGAGAGAAATTGTAGAGAAGGTAGTTCACAAAATATAAACATAAAATAAAACAGTTGTTAAGGTAAAATGACTTTATTTACTTTTATTGCTTATTTCCTTGAACTCATGTGCCTACCTCTTTTACACAAGAACTGAGATTAAAGGCCCGTGCCATCATGCCAGGCTTTAATTAAGATTTTTTAGAGCTGAGGATTTAATGCAATGTTTGAATCCTTGCCTGGCTTGTTCAAGGCCCCATGTTCATGTAATTCCCTGGAATTACAATCAATCAATAACTATAATTTAATTCTAGTTTTAATCTAGTGGATTCGGTTAGACATGAAGGAGTTTTTTGCTCGAAAACATGGGTAAATATATGTTATTTTAGCGTATTATTATACACAATACCCTCTTCTCAGAAAATGTGGCTAATACAGTATAAGCTGAAAATAATCTGCACTTACCTGATGGTTTATTATGTAACTGCATTCATCAAAGAATAACAACAAAGAAGACCTTTTATGAAATATGAAATAGGGGGATTAAGGAAAGCCTTGCAAAATCATCTGCAAGTTCAGACATCTCAGTAAATGAATAATGTCTGTTTTCATGACTCCTACTTACACTACAAACACTAACCGTGTAGTTACTGCTTTGAAGAAGGTGTATGACAGTGGTTCTCAACCTTCCTAATGCTGAGACCCTTTAATACAGTTCTTCATGTTGTGCTGGCCCCCCAGCCATAAAATTATTTTTGTTACTACTTCATAACTGTAATTTTTCTGCCATTAGGAATTGTAATGCAGATATCTGTATTTTCCAATGGCCTTAGGTGACCCTGTGACAAGGTTGCAACCCACATGTTGAGAACAATAGGTATATGGGATTAAAAGTATCCTTATGAACATAACATATTTTCTCATCATGGCTACCTCAAGTTGTTGACAATAATCTTATATATCTGTTTTCAGCTATAATAAATGTATGAAGATATGACTTGAGAATTATACTATTCCAAGAAAATTGGACACTAAATGATTAATAGAAACCCAAACAACCATACTAAAGTAATTAATGGTGATAAATAATTCAGAGTAGTAAGTCCTAATAATGATTGTAAAGGCAGTAATTACTCTATCTTTTAGTATTGTGTGCTTTTATTGTCTCTAGACAAAGGATACATTTACTTGCCTTTGAATTTCCAACATAGTATCTACAATGTAATAGGCACTCAATAGATGCCTGCTAAAGGTATGAATTGACTGACAGGAATAGGCATTATTTTAAAAATTCCTGCCATGTTAACAATGTTCCACACGGCAGTGACTGTCATCTTCTGTGACAAAGTGAGTGTGGCACCACATACGCCACCTTCCTCATATTCCTCAGGCATATTTTAGAATAAAATCATGTCACAAAGAGGTTGTACAGTCAGATGGTATCTTAGAGAGGATTTGAATCCCCATATTTTGTAGATAAGAAAAGAAATTAAGAAAGACAAAGAAACTTGTAAGTAAAGTAATCACATTGTTTATAGGGGAGACAAGACCAATCCCTCAGTGACTGGTTCCCAGGCCAGAGTCTCCTTTTAATGCATCATGAGCCATTAACCTAATTATTGATTACATTTCTGGAGAAAGCTTTTACTGTTCCCTACCCATTGAGCTATAAACACATTAAAAATACTTAGCTGTCTAGTTCTTTTTTTATGCTAAATTTTAGAATTTCTTATAAATAACATGAATCAAGTCCCCAATAACCAATACCATCATCTCTACTATTAACTATCATTATTTATTTTATTTGTTTGTTGTTTGTTTTGACAGTCTCATGTATCCCAGACTGGCCCTCAGCCAGCTATGAAGTCAAGACTGGCCTTGAACTCCTGATTCTCCTACCTCCATCCCCAAGTACTGGGATTACAGACATGCACCACTAAATAAAAATATAAATGCAGTTTTGAGCTTAATCTACTCTTAAGGGGCACTGGCAAATTCAAGTCTCACATACTTTGTGTGAAATAAACAGTAACAACAACAAACAGATGAGTTCTTCAAAAGAATCATTGCTGCTATACGAACCAGTTTCAGAGTCCTGGTTCATGAAACTATTTACTTCTTAGATAAAAGGCCGAGAGAGAGAGAGAGAGAGAGAGAGAGAGAGAGAGAGAGAGAGAGAGAGAGAGAGAGAGAGAGAGAGAGACAGAAGGAAGGAGTTTGTGAAATAAAAAAGCATTCAAGATAAAGTAAAAATGCAAGCAGAATTAATGATAATTACAATTCTCTTCTAAAAGTCATGGAAAATGAATATTGAACTTTTTGTAATCTCTAAAATTTCCAAAGGAAATTGTACTATAAGAGGCAATTCTGCCAGGGAAGAGCATGACAACTGGCTACCTAATGCCAAATGGTCAGCCCTGAAAACATATATACAAGTAACATTACACAGACTGAGTGGGCTGCATTTATGTATTTAAGATTTTATATATATATATATATATATATATATATATATATATATATATAGAGAGAGAGAGAGAGAGAGAGAGAGAGAGAGATAGATAGATAGATAGATAGATAGATAGATAGTGTGTGTGTGTGTCACACAATTAATGAAAAAAGAAGACATAAGCAGGGAGGGATATATGGGAGAGTTTGGAGGGAGGAAAGGAAAGGGAAAATGATGTAATTATAATCTTAAAAAATAAAATATATAATTTAAAACTAAAAGAAAAAACTACACATTTGCAAATGTACTGAGACATTTTTATTCCCTTACAATTATTTCAGTTTGTCATGATTTTAGACTGTCACATTCCATTTTTCCCCAAAATATATTCACTAATATATCAAAACAGAAACAATTCTTTAGTAAGACTAACTAAGCTATATTGGGAGTGTTAATACATATTTATTATTGTTTAAAAACAATTTATGTTTGATGTAAAGTTTACAAAGAACCCTATCTTTCTTATCACTTCTGCAGAAATCATGTAATGTGTATTGCATATTTGTTTTTAATTTGCATACTTTTAACCTATTCTGGTTTCATTTTCTTTAGGGTTAGCCTTGCTAAAGTCAAAACCACATTTTTCATTTGTCTTTTCAACCTTTCTGACAGGAAGTACAGATGATGAACACTGTAATTTAAGACTTATGTCACAATCAGTCATCAGCTGAGCATCACAGGGCTTTGTTTGTACACTAACCTATGATAATAGAAGTCTTGGGCCCTTCCTGCTAATGACTAACCAGAGCTGATGTTCCTGGTCATTGTAAACCTCAGGAGAAGCTTCCAGTAGGCTGGAATCATGGGCTCTAAAATGAATGTGGGTAGGATTACCTGTCCCCACAGATGAACTTCATTTCATAGGCACCTTCTAGAAACTTAACAAAAGGCAATTCTTAATTCATTATACTTTATACCTTACCACATTTATCCCAACAACCTTTTTATTTACAATTGAAGTTGGTAAAATATAATACAGCAAATTAAGTAAAACACTTGAGATAGATGTTAAATTAAAACTGTAGAACATCAAGTATGTATGTATGTAAATGCTTTATATTTAGTATTTATTAAAACTAGCCTTTAAAACTTTTTAGTTTCACTGTGTAGTCCTGGCTGACCTGGAACTCACTATGTAGACCATACTGGCTTCAAACTCATAGAGATCCACCTGCACTTTTTTCATGAGTGCTGAGATTAAAGGCATGTGCCACTACACCTGGATAAAAATAATCTTATGTATAACTATAGAAAAAGAATAATGTTGCCTAACTAGACATTAAAATCTACAAACTGGTGGGGGACTCACAATGCCATGAAGGTGGTAACAAAAATCTGTTTGACAAGAACAAATAAGAGGATTCATAAAAGAATGGTACAGATGTAGTTCAAGTATTGAAATAATACAGATGTGGTGGCATTTCTGGTAATCTACATGGGAAAGAAGAGGGAAATTGAAGATAGACCTAGAGAATTTAGGATTTGGCTTGACAATGAGCAGAGGGAGGTCATTCTAAGTAGATGAAGTAGCAATAGTAAATTGGTGAACAGGAAAGGGCATGGAATATAGGAGATTAGATCTTGGAAATGTGCTGGTACATGTAAGAGGTAAGCCCAAGATATTAATGTTTGAAATAAGAAAGAATTTCTAAAGACTGGAGTCATGTCATAAGTTGAAGCGTCAGTGTTCCAACTGCATGATGGGAAATGAGCAGAAGGTAACATCTATATGATAAAGAATGAGGAAGATGGGTGGACTCAGCAGTCAAGAGTACTCCCTGCTCTTGCAGAGGGCCTACATTTAGTACCCAACACCCACATCACAGCTTACAACCACCTGTAATCCCAACTCCAGAAGATTCTACCCCTTATGGCCTCTGTAGGCAACTACACTCACATGCACTAACCATACACAGACATACCTCCATGTAATTAAATATAAAATAACCTTTGAAAGGAAAATAAACAAGGAAGATATATACATGCAGACTAAAGCGGAAAATAAGCACAATGCTAAAAAGGTTATGGTGAAATGAAATTAGCTTGATTTGATGATCTACTCTTTAAAAGTTCAGGAACTACTCATAGGAGACTTACACAATATAAGGCTTTGTTAAAAAAAAAAAAAAGCATTAGATTTAAAGCAGACAAGTATATGCATGAAGATAGCCTTGTGTAAAGAACCCAGAGTGCTGTTTGTGACTGAAGCACCTTCTGAACATTGAGAACCAGTCCTCAGGGAGGAGACTTCCAGGTCAGATCCAGCTCTAAACCTCCAAATCTTGTGTGGTGTCTTAACCACGACTAGTGCCTTCCCTTCAGTTTCAGAGAGACAACCAAGGGCAACATCCATCACCTTCATTGTTTGGGGGTTCTCTTGGACTCTCCTGACAGAAAATTCAAAATGGCATTTCACATACCTGGCACTGGAGGTTTTGATAAATATCCTATGACTTTTGGGAAAAAACATTGTTACCCCAGGTGGTTTAATTTCATTTAAACTATATATAATATATGTAAAATTTATATTATATATAATTTTAGGTAAACATAAAATAATATTATTTCCTATAGCTTTCTGAACATTCTTGGTGTTATTTGTCCCCCCTCCTCTCTCCCTCTCTATTGACCTTTCCCCTTCCCAGATAAAGTTCCTCATTGTTTTTCCAATGTACTCCTCCTGTACTACTATTTCCCTCGCTAGAATAACCACCCTCCTTTGTGGCCCCTGTTGAGTTTCTCTTGCCAGCCTGGTCCTCCAGCTATTTTGCCCCCAAATAAACACACGGACACTATATTAGTTGTAAAACTGTTGACCGATGGCTAGGGCTTCTTATTGGCTATCTCTGTCTCAATTATTAACCTATAACTGCTAATATATGTATTTTTACATGTCCTTATTTTACCAGAGAAAACCTGGTGCATCCTATCCTCCTAGTCTCTACATAACATCTCCTCGAGGCACCTCTCTGCCTCTCTTTCCCAGAATTCTCATCTCCTAGTCCCGTCTGTCTTCCTGCCACTATTGATAAACAGCGTTTTATTCATCAACCAATAAGAGAGACATATATACAGAAGACATTCCCCCATCAGGTCCCGCTTCTGAGGTTACTCCAGGTTATACCCTCACATCTAAACATCCATAACTAGGATCCACCAATCTACCAACGGGGTGTTTGTCTTTCTAGACAAACTGAGGGTTACCTCCCTCAGTATAATATTTTATAGTTTCATTATTTAAGTGCAAATTTCGTGATTTAATTTTTCTCTACAACTAGTATTTCATTGTGTATGTGTGCCACATTTCAACATCCACTCATCAACTGGAAGACATTGATCAGTGGAGTAGGGAGGAAACCCACAGAGCAGGAGAGAATCTTTGTCAGCTATATATCTGAAATAGGAGTAAGATCCAAGAACATCTAAAGAACTCAAAACAAATGGCCCCGTTAAAAGTGGCTTATGGATCTGAAGTAGAGAGTTCTCAAAAGAACAAATCAAAATTCCTAAGAAATACCTTTAAAAGTGTTCAACATCATTAGAAATCATGGAAAGGTAAATTGAAAATACTTTGATATTTCATCTTAACCCAGTCAGTATAGCTAAGATCAAGACAAAAACTGATAACAAATATTGATGAAGGTGTGGCGAGAGGGAAAAACCTTTACTCACTGTTGGTGGGACTGAAAACCAGTGCAGCCACTGTGGACATCACTATAATGAATTCCCACCAAGATAAAATAGATCTGCCATAAGGCTCAGCCGTACCCCTCCTTGGCATATGCCCAAAGGACTCAATAGATATTTTCTGACATATGTTCATTTCTGGTTAATTCACAACAGCTAGGAAAATGAGAACAAAAATAAAGTTCTTAAAGGTACTATTTTCCTGCCATACAGTAAATCCTAAATTATGACCTCAACAAATTCACTAATAACTTAAGTGAGAAGTCTCCTTTATTAGAATTCTATTTTCTTAAAAAAAAAAAAAAAAAACCCATGTTCTTTCTTTTCAGGCCATGTAGTTGAATACATGTAGCTTTTCAGTTTGCCAGCATGGTATGTATGATGGCTGTTCAAGTGTCATAGAATTAAAAACCTTTCTACATTCTAAAGAATCTAAAGCTTAAATATGATGTGAATATAATAAACAATCAAGAGGGCCACATAACCCTCATTAAAACGTTATAGCCTATTGGTTACCCTCCAGAACTTGAAAGTGAGATCTTATTGCTGAAGACATCAGATACTGGAGTCATAGAGAGCATGGGGCAATCTAGCTAGCAGTCAACTGGAAGCTGCATCCCTACTGGTTAGCTTTCATAGTGCTGGGAGCTATGCAAGCTACCAGAGGAGATAATCAAACCAATCACAGCCTTCTGTGAGCCTTGCAAATTACATTAATGACTGGCCTAGCCAGACACTCCCACTGGTGCAATGGGGGCAGAAATTTTATGGGAGTGAGCAACCACTTTTTCACTGGATTTAAGTATGACACTGTGAATAGAGTTAAGACCTGTGGCTACAAATGTCATGGACTCTAGGGGTAAAATCTACTAGTATATTCTGCTAAAAGACATACCATTAAAATGATTTCTAATGACATACTGCTTCAGCCACAGGTCAGTGCACTGTTCAACTTTCATCAGAAAGGTTCTTCTTGCAGTAGATAACAATTACCAAAGAGACTCCAGACAGTCAACATACAGAGCATAACAGACTTGGGAGTGCTCAGCCTAAATGATACACCTGTATCACAACCCTCTTCTCAAGTCTCAGGAATGGTTATGAACAACAGGGGTAGTGGGTGGTGTTTGCCAGACCACAACAGGACAGATGCACCTATAAACCCCCACAGCAATTGTGACAGTGTATACAAGACCTGAGCAAGTTCAAGCCAGACAGAACCCCAGCACGGGCGTGAGGTCCCAACCCCCACTGAGGAGCTCTTGCTGCTGAGAGAGGAAAAATCATTGTCTTTACAGTGTGACAACTGGTTGACCACATTCCAGCATAAGCCCCATACCTGGGAATTGTTGGCCAATACATACTGGACTCAATGGGGAAGGGAAGACATGAAATTTGAGGAACTGGGGGAGGGAGGATATTGGAGGAGTTTGGGGAGGGAATGTATATGAGCAAATATATAGAATTCTCGGAGTTAATAAAACATTATTTTATAAAAGAATCTCTAGGTCAAATGTTTGACCAATATGCTTTGTTTTATTAGATTGGTAAAGATTTAAAAATCAAGCAGATATCTCACAGTGATGTTATGAACAGAAATCAAATAAACTGAGGGGAAGCTCTACAATGTCATGCACACAGTAATGCTCAATTACTTTTGGTTTTAAGTTTTGGCCAGTGGATTATAGCCTGACATACACAAAAGTTTTCATTGAACTGCTCAACTTCATTATAAATTCGTGATACTTTATAATCATTTAAATAATTGAAAATAAATAATATGTAAATTACTGAGTTTCTGAGAAACAATATGGTGGCATTATGTTTAATTTCTTGATGTACAAATGGAAGCTTGCATGTGCCCTTACTGTGATTAATTTCACTTTTAAACAAATACAGCACAATATTGCTATGCAGAATGGGAAAATTGATGGAAGCAACCTGGAAGGTGGTTCACAGCAAGCCCCCTCGACTCCTCCCAACACCCCAGATCCACGAAGCCCCCCAAATCCAGAGAACATTGCACCAGGTAACTAACCACCTTCAAATGGAACAGTAAAATCTCTATGCATTTAAAAATACTACACCTTGACATTCATTAAATGACATTTAAGTGGTATTGCTTTTCTCATTAAATATATTTTCTTCATAATTTTAAGACAAAAGTAAAATTTAAGTTTAAAAGAACCATGTAAAATATTTATAATAGTTATCTATTCTTTCAGACAATCCATGGTATTCCTTTTTAATTAATGAATTTGTTAATTATTTGGTGTGTGTGTGAGAAAGGATATGTGCGTGCGTGTGTGTGTGTGTGTGTGTGTGTGTGTGTGTGTGACTCTGACTTCTGCTGAGTGCATGTGGAGATCAGGAGACAGCTTTCTGGTGACTCATAGGGTTCCTGGTAAACTTACCCAGCAAGGAACACTAGCTTCAGGACGATGTTAAGTGGCTCTCAGTAAGTGAACGTTATTCACTGTTTATTCACTTTTGCTCTATCCCCAAAGGATATTCTGGGCCCCTGAAGGAAATTCCTCCAGAAAGATTTAACACCACTGCTGTTCCCAAGTACTATCAGTCACCCTGGGAGCAGGCCATTGGCAGCGACCCCGAGCTCCTGGAGGCTTTGTATCCCAAACTTTTCAAGCCCGAAGGGAAGGCAGAACTGCCTGATTACCGAAGCTTTAACAGGTAACTCGATTACCCAGCGTGGCTGGGTGGACATGAGAAACCCAGACATGCTCACTGCCACTGTACAGGGAGTCGAAGACTCTGTAGAAAACCAGCTTTGATCTCAAGAAAATAACCTAAGAGGAAGCACATGGGTCTAAGTCTGAGTAGACACTAATTTTTGCACTATGACTAATACTCTGAAGGTTTTAACTGCTTAATTCACTGAGGCCTGTATAAAGAACTTAATAACGAAATCATAAAATTTTACCATTCATTACTTATGATTTATTTCTATTTCTCCATTTTGTTTGTGTGGTGGGGGAGGCAGCACACATGCCCCAGTGCATATGCAGAGGTCAGAGGAGACCCTGCAGGGGTCTGGTCTTGTCTCCTACCAAGTAAGTCCTTGGAATTGAACTCAGGTCATCAGGCAGAACTGTAAGGCCTTTACCTGATGAGCTGTCTTGCAGGCACAATAATTCTTTTTAAGTGACTGAAAAGCTACGAAGATAGCCAATTGTGTTGAAGACCAAAATCTCGGGGGGGGGGTAATAATAAAAGAAAATTTAGAACCTAAATCCAATATTTGATGGCACTTTCCTGGGGGAGGTGCTCACTGGTGAGACATGAAAGGCTGAGAGGCAAAACAGAACTGAGCAGTTGGTAGTGTGGGACCAGAGGGAACAGATTAGGATCTTTCACGGACACACAGATAAGCCCTGCTGTTTACTCCCGGCTTTCAGACAGAAATTGTTAGCCCATCCCTTTGGAGTAAAGGCAAAGAGTAGACCAGCTTCAGCACACTCAGTGTGACTTCAGTCAGCAGCGTCAAGCTGGGCAAATGCCACCTCCTTTTAGTCACACAGCTGCCGTGACAAGTCAGTCCTTTTGGATGATACAATTTTAGACTCAAATCATTTTTATGACTGCCAAGTTTCTGTCCACTTTTTATTATGGCGAAACACATAGTATATGTAAATTGAACAACTTTAACCACTTTTTAAAAGGTGGATTTATTTTATGTGAATGAGTGTTTTGCATGAATGTATATGCTCCAGGTGTGTTCATGGTGCCCATGGAGGTCAGGAAAGGGTGTGAGGTCCCCTAGAACTGGAGTTAGAGATCATCATGGGCCACCATTTGAGTGCTGGGAACCTAGACATCTGTAAGGACAGGGCATGCTCTTAACTTCTGAGCCATCTTTCCAACCCCTGATTTTGAACCGTGTTAACATACTTACCAGTAGTGTTCACTGCATTCACAATATATGTAACTACCACCACCATCCCCAAGGCTCACATTCTTGGAAGACCAAACCATATCCGTTAGACAATGGTTTCTAAACCCTTCTTCCCTGGTCTCTAACAGCCACCATTCTTATTGTCCTTATGAGTTTTGCTATTCTAAATATTTCTTATAAGTGAAATCATATAGTATTTGTCATTTTAGATTGTCTTAGTATAATATCCTCTAGTTTAAAATTTATTTGGTGTTTATATTACTATAAAATTCAAGTTGTTGACTATTTCTAGGGATAAGGGGGTTTGTGATTGAACAGGGATACATATAATGCTCTACAGTAGTTCCTAATATGTATGGCTATTCTGAGATGGATAGATATATATATTATAGAAATTTCAATATGTTTGTCTGTACATGTATCATCTTGAGAGACAGAGATACGTTTGGCTTAATAAATGGATTTAGTGACACTAGACACAGCTGAAGAGAGGACTGTGATATGACACAGGACAATGATGTTCCAGCTGAAACATGGAGGTGGCGGGGAGAAAAGAATTCACAGAGCAAAGGAAGCAGAGGGCGCATGAGCAGCAGCCATAAAAGTCTGTGGAAACAGGACCCTGTGGACAAGTAAGAGCAACTGGGAAGGACTAATGGCCAAGACCTCTTCAAACTTGACAGGAGACACGAAGCCTCAAGAAACACCACTCAAGCTGAGAAGTGTGAGCAAGGCAGGAAGGAAGTTCTGAGGCCTGGGATTAAAGTATCTCTGCAAAGAATTAAAAGCAAGATGATTTCCTAATTAAAATAAAGGAAATCATGAAATAGCACCTAAAATCATGATATCACTACCAATTTATAATTTGACATCCACTAAAAATATTCTTTAAAGGTCAAAGTTAAATTTAAGAGTTACATACACATTTTCAGACACAGACATTTGTTGACCCATATTAGACAATAAGACAAGAATAATAAACAAGGCCGCCATTATTCACAGATGGTGTGATTATGTCCCCAAACATCCAAAAGGAGCTACAGGCAATCAGTAGAATTAGAAGGTAAATGTGGCAGGAGTACAGACTACAAAGTCAGCATAAAATACACCAGGAACAATAACTAGAAAATACATAACTTTAATAATATCACAGCCTCTTAATCTATGATTTGTGAGTGCTTCTTTGTCTATTTTGTACCCCAATAAACTTTTTATTTTGAAACTCCCATATAGACAAAGTAACTCCAGTAATTATCTCTACCTATATAAATTCAATGTGACAAAGGCCCTTTATTGAACTAGTCAAGATATAGTCCAGTCATTTAAAAAGAGAAGTTCAAATAATTTCCAGGTATAAAGTGGGTACTTTTCACATTGTAGGTCAACACAATTTTATTTGCTCAAACTACTAATGATTTTGAGAATATAATTTGACGAAGAATAGTTCGTCAATTCTCATGCACACATTTCAAAAGTAGAATGCAGCATTGTTTTTCTCCTGTGTTTACTAAATTATTCAACATGCTACTACATTGAGACTTTATTCTGATGTAACTTTTTCACTTTTGTAAAACAATGGCAAAAGACACTGGGGGGGGGGGATTCCACAAGTCCTAAAGTCCTTGCAAGAAGTAAACTCCCACAGTTTAGTTCCCCCATGTCCTTAGCATAGTCATTGTGTTTTAACAGAGTAAGATGCAGCGGTGATAATGACTGAAAGAAAAGTGACTCCCAAGGATGATTATAATTACTTACGGCCCCCCAAATGATCAAGATTTGTATACATCTTTTTGTTCTTATATTCCTTTTGTATGTATTCAAACTTCATGCTACATCCAAATCCATGGAACAAATGGGAAGTAAACTGATGGAGAGGAAGGTCCTGACTTTGCTTTAATTGCTGTATGATCTTTGGTGCAATACATAACATAATGTTCTCATCTGTAGAACATATTTTTATGACTAAAGTGCTTTAAAATATATCACACTTGCTATTTGGTAGAATAATTTATTTTTTAAATTTCAATGTAAACATTTTATCTTATAGAAAAAACTATTATAAGTACACAATACATGCAGTGCTATTTAATTTTACAAATATGATACTATCAGAGTAAACAAGAAAGCATGAACCTGTGAATCAGAAAGATACACTCTTATTATTCACTACATAGCCAACATGATATGGAAACCATTGACCTATTTCTGAAGTTAGTTTTATGGAAATTATAGAGATACAATTCCATTTTAAAAGAAGACTTGACGTCTTTTCACTGGAAAATTTTTGCTCCACTAATTGGAACGAAGCTTGAAAGTATTTCCATGGACCTAAAACATCCTACCAGCAGTCTGCCACTCTGGATGCTAATGCACACTCCTTCAAGTCTGTGGAGAGGGTAATGGAGCCCAGATCAACAGGATGTCATCTCAGAGATGCCAAAGAAAAGAAAAGAAAACTGTTTTCCAAGCAGCAGATTCCACTGGACCTACAGTGGGAGCTGAGAGATGGACGGACGGAAAGGAAGGGATATTGTGCTTTGTAAGGCAAGAAAACTATTCACGGTTTCTTGGGAAAAAATAAACTTCAATTGGTTAAAAAGAAAGAAAACAGTACACTAAATGCCAAACCTAAGCTGAAAGTCGCCTAGTGGGGAGCTCTCCCTTTGAAACTTAACTCAGAAAATGCTTTTTAAAAGTTTAAAAAAATTTATTTCTAGAATAACTATAAAATCACTTCACCAAATCCTGCTTACTTCAAAAGTGTTCAACTTTAGCCTCTTTTATCCGGTGTGTGTAACCACTCTTAAAGCCCCAGGAATGAGTGTTTTGTGCAGGGACCCATGTGAGACAGACATGCTTGGTTTAGTGGCTGTGTTACTCCTATGCGGAGACTCACTTTCTCCCTCTTGCTCCCTCTCTCTTCTTCTCTCTCCCCCTCCCCATTCCCCCCTTTCCTCTCTCTGTGTTCTTACTGTGGGAAACTGATCCCATGCCCTTGCACATGCCAGACATGGACTCTACTACTGAGATCTCTCTCCAGTCTAAAATAATTAATAAGTTAGTACAGAGGGCTCTGTGCTATCTCTGTGTGGATTTAAATGGTGCTCTTCCTCCGTAACTAGATTCCACAATGCTATAAATACCATGTTTTATTTTTCTTCATGGCACTTCTCATTACCTCCTGCATGGTCAATCCATTCCCTTTCCACGAGTTTCCTTCTCTGTAACACAGACACCCGTGAAAAGTTATACCACTTTATCCTGTTTTTCACCATGACCTGGAACCTAGTAGCCATTCATTAAATTTCTATATTGGGTAATGAATTGATCTATGTAATGTTGAGTAATCTAACTTAGAATATTGGTTCTCAACATGTGGGTCACAACACCCTTCCCTCCTCCTCCCCTAGTTAAGCAGACTCATCAACAACCCTTTTCAGTGAGGTAACTCTTTCTGACTTACAGCTTCTTCTCCCTTCATTCAGGGAAGTTACATTCTATCAATCATTGACTCCGATCATGATCTCAATACTCTTTTACTCTGCTGGAAGCTTGAATGTCCTTAATATCAACTCTCACTTGTTCTTTGTGTTGTCGTGTCTGCTTCCTGTACACTCTGGGAGACTTGGCCAACACAATTCAGTATAGTGTGCCTTTACTACAGGAAAACGAGTTGACTGACTTCTAAAGGGATTACAGTTTCTTTGAGAGTAATGACAACGCCTTTGGTTTCTACTTACATTCTTCTAGCACATCCTGAGAAACAATGGATTTTCATAATTGCTATTTAGCGTTCTTAGGTGGATTAATGTAATAATGGAGGCGTATAATCTTACTAGAAAAAAATAACAGAGTACTAAAAAGGTACACGATTGAGGCTATTTCTAGGAATACGTACATATGAAGCACTTCACAAACAAGAACGCAGGGATGGAAACATGGTGCAGGAATAAGGTGTTTTGCCAGATTACACAAACTCTTGATTTTGACCCTGAGCATAAAAAATGAAGAAACAGAAAACCCTCTCCAACACACAAGGAGAAACAGATGTTACATATGTGAATAAAATTAATAGATTAATAAATCCGGGCTCAATTTAAATTGATACAGGCTCAATTTTAGGAACTTACTATTATTATATTATTACAAAACAACAAATACTGCAGAGTTTAAAAAAAAAGCAGGTGATGGACAGAGTGTCCAATGAGTGTTTTAAAACAAGATTTTATTTTAGACATTTGATAAAATTTTCAAATCAATATATAAAATTTCAAGTGTTTCTGAACTAATTTAGTTTTATAATGCTTTTAGAATTATTTTCTCTATGGTATGTAGTAATATTTTAAAGACTATGACAAATTCTATGGAAAGTTAAAAGTAACAAAATATTTCTGGGATTATTTATGAGTGGCCGTGGATTTGTGAAACATGTGTGTGACCATGGATTCGACCTCAAATCCCTCTCCAGAAAACATAAACACAATTAAGTTTTCCCATACCACTAAAGATATTTTGAATCAAAATGTGGCCAACAAACTCTTATATGTCCTGATCTCCAAGACTATATTAACACCAACCACCAAATTAGTTAAAGATGTAATGACTGATTCTTGACATGCTATTGGTTGCATGCCTCTTCCAGCAGTTGAGGGCCCTTTACATGATTTTTCTAATGAAATGAGAGCAAATCTAAATGGCCAACTGTGAAGTTATGAGAGTAACGAATGGCCAACTGCAGCTCATGACAAAGAAGCTGTGTGGACACTACAATGCCTGGACTGAGAAGATGGGAAGGACACTGAATAGAACATTCCTTCTAGCAGACTAGAACAACTAATTAAACAACTCAAATTTGATGATTCAAGTTGGTAGTGGCCACTGTATCTATTAAAGCTCTATTATTTCTTTAATAGAAGGCACACAGGCTATACTTAAGATATTCACAAAAGAGAGCAGAGAGATAGAGATGTAAAGAAAATTAAATCTTGCCCATGTCTTTCAAAAGTGTTCCCCATTGCACTGAAAAAACATAACCATTTTGTCCACTCCTATTGTCTGATGTCTGTGGGGATCTTCCGGTAGAATGCACTGTGCAAGCATATTGTAATAAGTTACAACGCACACCCTTCCGGAATTCAGCAAGATAATAAAAGACAGATAAACAAATACCAAAGACTAAAGAAAGATAGACAGAAGGCGGAGTCTGTGAAAACATGGTCTCAAGGCAAGGGAATCTCCAAGAAGTTGTGAGTTTAAACTTAAGGAGTGTTGAGAATATGTTACAACAAGAGAACTCCAGAGAGAGAGAGAGGGGTGGGGGAGGGAGGAAGGAGGCGAGTCATGTTCCCACACACACACCAGCCAAAAAATGCTCAACCTTGCACCTGCTAGTTGCTAAAACTCTAAACCCGTGAGTACCCTTGATGTTTCCATTGCTCCTGTATTTTATCTGATGCTGTCTCCATCTGCCTCCTAAACGGACCTTGAAACCACTTGGTCTCCCATCTTCACAGATAACACTTGGAATACAAACTACAGTTTATCACGGGTTGCCTCTCTTGGCTTCTTATAATCGGTTCACTTGGCAACTAGAATCCCCATTACAAAGTTTAACCAGGTCCTATTGCTTCCATCCATTGGATTCTCTTCATACTCACAGGAAATCCACTTTTTAAAAAGATTTAGTTGCGTGTGTGTGTGTGCGTGAGTGCGTGTGTGTGTGCCTGTGTGTGCAGAAGCCAAAAGAGGACATCCTCTGCCCTGGAGCTGGTGGTACAAGTGGTTATGTCCTTCGGGTACTGATGCTGGGAACCAAACTCTGGTCTGCAGGAAGAGTAAGCACTATTAACCACTGAACCATCTATCTCTTCAGCTCCTATATTTTCTGCTTAGACAAACTCCCACACAATCAGCCCATGTGCCTCTCCTGCCTTCATCTGCTTATCTAGAAAGGTGTGTCTTCCTCCTTTCCCTGACATTTCCAAAATTTTATCTGCCCTTGACTGTTCTCTATAGGGAACATGCTGTTGCAAATTGGCCAGATTCTAGTGGTTAACTTCTCATCTGTAGAAGGTAGTTTAAATGTCATTTTCCCCCAGGGAAATATTTGTGATGACTCAATCTAAAGAAACAAAACACTCAGTTATTCACATCCTCATCCTATTTAAATCTGCTACATATCTCATCACTGTTAGATGTTTGTTTTTGTGTTAATGCCTCCTTCTTCATGCGAGATCTGAAACTGTGTTATCTATATTGTTCATTTAGAACTAGGCCTGGCAATGAATGAGCAAATAATACCTAACATAAAACAAGTTAAAAATTTATGTGAGATTCTGTATGCAATGGTAGTAGAGGTTAGATTTTTTTTTTTTTTTATTCGAGATAAACGGGGGAACTTTGAAATCTTTTTATGTGTTTATTTGGGATTATGTTTTAATTATGACATTTCTCACCTCCCTTTTCTCCTTCCAAACTCTCCCATGTACCACTCCCTGCTCCCCCTTCAAATTCATGACCTCTTTCTGCAAACTTTGAAATTTCTAATGTCACATTAGGACATAGGACACATTTCTTACCTTCAAAGAGTTTGAAATCTATAGATGATCCCAAACAAATGAAAGTCTCTAAAACATACACGAACAAAACAAATACCCCAAGTACGGCATGGTAATAGAAACAACCCCTACCACAGGAATCCAATGAAGGATCGGTGGGCTGGGGTAGTCGAGGGGAAAATAGAAGTGAAATGCCACAGCCATTAGATACAGCAGGCACACAAGCACAGAGGCAAACAAGGGTGGCTTGTAATGACTCAGGAGCAAATTTATCCAAAACTAAGACTATCTACAAAGGGACCCCACAGCAATTTGTCATTTATCTGTTTTGCAACCAGTACATGGACCTTCAATGAAAATGCTTGCTTCTGAGGCCTCAAACTAAAAAATACCAGTTAGAGTCCATAATAACAGGTCCATAAAATTATGAGATTGTTTGATGCATTTTATGACAAATATAATTGATTATTAATTATTTGCTTTTCTGTTCATTCCCACAGAGTTGCCACTCCATTTGGAGGTTTTGAAAAAGCATCAAAAATGGTTAAATTCAAAGTTCCAGATTTTGAACTACTGTTGCTAACAGATCCCAGGTTCATGGCCTTTGCCAATCCTCTTTCGGGCAGACGGTCCTTTAACAGGACTCCAAAGGGATGGATATCTGAAAATATTCCTGTAGTGATAACAACTGAACCTACAGAAGACACCACTGTGCCAGAATCAGATGACCTGTGACAAGGAAGCTGGACAGGCCAGCTCTGCAAATAAAAGCTGCCGTTATCCTACTTGCTAAATTCTTCATTACTATTATCATTTAATAGCAGTTAAGTGAACTTAATCTTATGGCATTTAATTTTAATTGAACAATTAAATTCTTATTTAAAAAACTTTTAAGTCACTTGTACTCATTCATAACTTTATTTTCATATCTATTTTTCTTTTAAATAATCTAGTCTTTTCATGGTGAAGGTTCAGATGGAAAAATAACAGACAAAAATTTTCTTTGTTCCAATGAAATTATTTTAGAAAACTTATATCGACTCTGGAATCAAAATATAGTAAGATATGTGGGGTAATTCCAGATTTTAAGTGCAGGGTGAGAGTTATATGAGATGGTCTACAGACATTATTGCTGCACAAGAGGGGTAGGTACTTCCTGTCTGGTTCCATGGCAGCATAGCACATCTGGATTTATTTTCTCTTTAGCCATCAGTAGAATTATAAATGCCTATGTATTTCTTAACTTGTTGTAAATCATTGACATTCTTGAGTTAGAATGGGTAATCAAATTTGTCTAGTATTGTTAAGAAGACTAGGAGGTGGTGATCCAGGAAGTAGAACAAAATACTACTATTTCTGTCTTAATGACTAATGTGTTCTTAGAATTCAAGTTCCCCAAATCTCAATACTATTGTTTGCCTTTCTTTAGACTGCCAGCTCCCAAATAATGCCATGAAGACTTCTTATTAATTATGAAAGTTTGGCCTTAGGTTAAGCTTGTTCCCAACCTGTTTATATTAATCTATGTTCTGTCACATGGCTCTTTACCTCTGCTCATTATTGTGCACTCCACTTCGTTCATGTCTGGCTGATAAATTCTGCCTCTATTCTTCCCAGAGTTCCTCTCTCTTCTGGAAGTCCTGCCTCTCCTCTCCTGCCTAACTACTGGCCATTCAGCTCTTTTTTTTTTTTTTTAAACAATCAGAAGGTGCCTTGGCAGAGACATATCTTCACAGTGTACAAAAGATTATCCCACAACACATTCACAGTGTATTGACTAGGGGTATATTTCCATATAAACTTTAGAAAAGTAATAACATACAATAAATATATGAGCAATTGAATAAAATTTGATTGGCAACTTTCTTTGGAACTAGCCAAATATTTAATCCCTAGTCAAAGTGAAATCAAGTACCAGTGAAATAAATACAATGAAATAAAGTTAAAGAGTAAGGAGGGTTCTCAAAGTAATGTAGCATACTTCTACCATAAGATGTTTGAATACAGTAATTTTTTAAAAAAAATTAGATAAGTTAAAATATGCATGAAAAAGTATGCAATATGGAATTTGTTCATACCAATTTCTTCTCATTTTAGTTTGTTTAAGATGTCTAGGAATGATGGGGATATGGAACACTTATCCACATGCATGGGATGCTGGGTTTAAGCCCAAGTACAGAAAAATAGTCACATCATTCTAGTTGTGTCCCAACTTCTAATTTATGTGATCACAGACATTTTTCTGTCCACCCCTGAAAGCACAGCAATTAAATATGTCAGTTATAACACAGTATTCCCTAATATCATAAATTATTTCAAATTGGAGAATTGTAGATGATTTTGTAAGGTTATGTAGAGAATGAAGAAATAACTCTCTGTTCACTAGTATACTTCTCCCATTCCTGGAAATATCCATGAATTCATGCACAGCTGACAGCATCAGAAATGCCAAAATTTCACTCTGGTTGCTAGGCAGTTTAAATTCAAAAGGAATTATGAATAGTTTTTTTTTCATTGACCTGAATAACAGCTAAATCTTTCAGAGTCCAAAGAAAAATAATGGTCTCTTTAGAAGAGGAAAGAGAAAACCAAAACTGTGGTATTTTTCCACAGAATTTATAAACATGAAACATAGAAAAAATAAAAATCAAAAGAGCAAAATGATAAAAATAACATTTGTTGATGAACTACTGGATGTCAGATTGTATATGTTGCTTCGTGAGGCAGTTATGTGTTTTAGTATTTTTCCTGAGTGGCAGGTATTATAAACAATCTCAACTTTATGAAAGAAGCATCCTTGGGTTGCCAATGTGACCTCTTAGTGAGCCTTGCGTGTACATCCTGTACACACTGTTTCACCTTCTGAGTTCATTTGTGCATCTGCCCTGCTGTTGGGCAAAATCTGCTTCCTCAAATCCATCCTGTGGCTGGTAAAATCCCTTCATCCCCCACATCCACAATGATCCCGAGCCTTGAAAGGAGGGTTGTATCAAGTAGTGTATGGTAGAATATGATGTTTAGCTGTGCTACTGTCCCCCCCATTATAAAGTGAGCTACATTTAAACTCTGCCTATCTAAAATAGGGTTCCATATAGCTTTTTCAAGAAGGCCTTTAATATTAATTATCCCCCCTCATATTCCGTCCTTCACCCCACCCTCCTAATACCTACCCCATTTTATATCTTTCCTTTCCCCCTTTATATTCCTATATTCTATATCCCCTTTCCAGAAATATTCCCTCTTCCCCCATGACCCCTTATTAGTTTCCTAATCTCTATGGGTTTTACAAATGAAAACTACTTATCTAAAGTTTAAAGGCTACTAGCCCCACATGAGAGAAAGCATTTGATGTTTGTCTTTCTGGGTCAGGGTTACCATACTCAGGATGATTGGTTACGGTGTCATCATTTGCCTACAAATTTCACTGTTCTTAACAGCTGAATGATAACCTATTGCATGGAAAGTGTCACGTTTTCACTATGCACTCATCAGTTGATGGACATCTAGGCTGCTTCCATGTCCCAGCTCTTATGAATAGAATAGCTCTGAGTATGAATGAGCAAGCAGCTCTGTAGCAAGGTCCTTTGGGTGAGTATTCAAGAGTACATAGCTGGCTCTTGCAGACCTATTACCAGTTCTTTGAGAAATCTCCACACTGATTTCTACACGGTTGCTCCAGTTTGAATTCCCACCAGCACTCACAACGTTAGCACTTGGCCATCTCCGAAATCAACTCATGAAAAGACTTAGCAATCAAGTGTGCTAGTCAAAAAAAACCATTTATTGCATCCAGATATTACACTTTCCATCTAGATCCATTTATAAACATTTCAATTGCTCCCGGAAGCAGAGGGAGCCAGTTAGAAGTCCAATGTGAGCACAATGCCCAGTCTTAATTATGCAAAGAACATCTTGAACTCTTCAGTCCAGGCCACACAGCTCTACCAACAGACTTACTCATTCTGGAATTTCCTCATTCTGTTTTTTTATGTGAGAGCAAAATGACACAACATCATTGTTCAGCTGTGACTCCTCTTTCTTAAGCTTATGTCTTTGAATAACTCCTTTCTTAAGAAAAAATGCTTTTGTTGATATTTGTCCTTCTGCAGGGACAGAAAGGTAGCTTTCTTTCTTTGAGAGGCAAGATGTAGGCTCTGGCAATATAGCAAGCAAAGGGAATCCATTCCAAGCTAAGTGACTAAACACACTTTGTAAGCATTCAAAAGAATTCATTAAAAGCTAAGCAACAAAATTCAAAACTAAAATTGTGCAGTTCCATGTTTCCTAGAATTTAAAGGCATATATTCCTGTTTGGATTCATATGTTAAGTGAGATCCAAATTTATCCTGACTTCTCAATGCAATATGATTTTAAAGGGAAAACTGAGGTACATGGTGGCAAAGGGCGATGAGAACACTACTTTTAAGAGTTTATGCAACCAGAAAGCTGGCTCACACCTGTCATCGTAACCCTGGAGATGTTGAAGCAAGAGAAACACAAGTTCAAGGTTACCTTTGGCTACATTGAATTTGAGGCCAGCCTGAGCTACAGGAGACACTCTTTCGGTGAACAGACAAATGAGTTCATAGCTGAAATCCAAATAAGAATATGGTCTCAAATGCTGGAATATTGATCCCCACTGTGTCAGTGTTCAGGGGGTAGAACAGTTAAGAGATGCTGCCAAGCAGAGGGTGATAAGGACTTAAAGAGTTCCTCCTTGCAAAGGGATTAATGTAGTCTTTATACGATGTCAGTTCCAGAGAAAGCAGGCTGTACAATATGAGCAAGCCTGGGTCCTGGATCTCTATAGCTTCTGGTCATGTGATCTCTTCTGAACCTACTCCCACGATTATTATGTCATCAACCAGAGGATTAATGGAGGGACTGCCTGATTCTTACCTTTGGCTTCCTAGATAGAAAGACAAACAAACATTTTTCCCCTATAGGGGCTTACTTCAAGTATTTTGTTATAAACATTGGACATGGATTGATACATGAACCACAATGAGTATTTTTCTAAACGGATAGGAATAAATTGCTATTTTGTATTGTAAATTTTCTACTCAGTATTATTAAAAAAGAGTTAACATTGCTTTGGTTATTTAAAAAACAATAGCAAAAAACAAAAACAAACAAACAAACAAACAAAAAAACCCTGTTGACCATGTCTTTCAAATTACTGTGATTTGTAAAGGAGTCTAGATCTTAATTTGTTTGGTTATAGATGAAAAGTTTCTACACCGTAATAAGCCTCTCCGCCGATGCAGCAATCCAAATCAGACCAAATCAAACTGAATTAGAAAAGCCCACTTTTAGTGGATACAGTGCTCCCTGATGCCCTTCCAGCCCCCACCACCCAAAAGGAAACAGGAAAACTGTAAAAACCACAAATCTGTCCTCTGAGAGGCTGTTTAAATACCCTGTGGTCTTGAGTATCTCTGGGGGAGGGGCCACCACTTAGCAGGCTTTAGGAGATGCAGCAGGATTTGGAGGGAGATGGGGAAGGGGGCTTAGGTGGAACCTCCACCAAAATATCCCAGACTTTTCAGGTATATGGATGACAGGGACTAGGGTGAAGCTTCTATCATTAGACTCTTTAGGTATATGGATGCCAGCAACTTGGGTGAAGCTTCCACCTTAACAATGATCACAGCTTTTAAAATGAAACAGAATAGACTATCAGAATAAACATGTCTGTGTGTAGAGTCATAATTAAAGCATTTTCATACTCTAGATTGTAGTGTAAAATAACTGAAATCTGCTAGTAGCTTGTGGAGGTTTGAGTGAAAATGGCTCCATAGGCCCATAGGGAGTGGCTCTATTAGGAGGTGTGGCCTTTGTTGGAGCAGGT